TAACATACTGGTTTCAAGCCTTTGATGGTTACACATACTACAAATATATTTTCCCATTTGGTAGCTTGCCCTTTCATTTTTTATTAGTATTTTTTGATCAACAAAGGATCCTAATTTTAATGAGCCTAATTAATGTTTTTTTTCCCTTTATGTTTGAAGCTTTTTGTATCCAATAACAGTTTCAAAGGGGAAAAATGAACAGCATCAAGATGATGAAATATCTGAAGGCAGAATGGCTGCAAATTTTTAAGACTTGATGAGAGATAAGAGTTTGAATATTTAGAAAGCCCAAAATATCCTTTAGGAAACAGAAAAAATAAAAAGGAACCCATGCTTAGATACATCATAGTGAAAGTGCAGAATGCCCAAGACATAGATGAGACCTCAAAAACATCCCAGAGAAAAAAGATCATCAGAAAGGAAAGAAAAAATTGGTTGAGAGCTGACTGATGAGCGGCAGCAATGGAAACTAGGAGATAGTTAAAATACCTTGAAAGTGCTTAGAAAAAAACAATAATAGTCAGTCCAGAATCATATATCCAGCAAAAGTATCATTCATGAGTGAGTATGGGAGCCAAGATGAAGTGAACAGGGATCCACTTGAGACAACTTAAAAAAAAAAAAGATAATTCAACAGTCGTTTTTGAAGACACTAGACATCAGACAATGAAGAATAGTGATCACTAAGAGACAGGAAACAAACATCAGTGCTATGACTGCCCCAGTTTACTGCCTAGAGAGAGTTTCCTGGCTGTGTCAGGCGAGAAAGAACCCAGGCAGAGCCCAGTGGCCTCCTTGAGTCGAAAAAACAAAGCTGGGAGTCAAGGCAGGTCAGGGTTTTCTCTGGGAAGAGTATGAAAGAGGAAAGAACTGCACAGAGACAGAGCTCTGGAGATCTACGGGATGTCCCCCTGAGTCCTTAGCCAGGTACTTAGCAAAAGCTGCTTATGAAAATACTACCGGAGAGGATTAGAGCGCTGACTCTTAACCGAGGGCAATTTTACTCCCCCAGAGCCATTTGGCAATATCTAGAGGCATTTTTGGTTTGTCACAATTTGGGCGATGCTACTGACATCTGGTATATAAAGGCCAGGGATACTCCTAAACATCTGACAGCATATAGGACAGTCACCACCACCACCACCACCACCCCAACAAATTATTATTCAGCCCAAAAATGTCAATAGTCCCAAACTTCAGAAACCCTCCATTATAGGTTCCCCCCACTATCCAAAAGCAGAGTATTCCTATGAAAACTTTCATAAGCCAAAATGGCATTAAGCAAAGAAGCAATTAAATTTGTCCAGAAAATATTTTGAGCATTGCCAGACCCAAAAAATAACTATGGAAAATGAAAAAAAGAGAAAATATATTGAAAAAATTATGAAGAGAACATTATTGAGCTATAGGACAACTTCAATGGCATAACATATAACTGGCATCTCCAAAAAAAGGAAGGGTGCTAAAAAAAAAAATCTGGAGAAAATATTACAAACTTGATTTAAAAAAACTCACATGTTCAAGAAGCTCGATGTATCTAACCACAAGGAACATAAAAGAAGTAACAACAAATTGCATAAAACCAGTAAGAAAGAGAAAAACTTAAAGTCATTCAAAGGAAAAAAGTCACACACACACACACACACACACACACACACACACACACACACGGCTTCTACATAAACCCAAAACCAGAAAACTCCTAAAAGAAAATATAGGAAGTAAACGCTCAGACATTACCCTTAGTAATATTTTTACTGATATAACTCCTTGGACAAGGAANCAACTTCTGCTTTCATCATCTATCTCCTTCTGTGACTCTGACCTTCCAACCTCCTGTCACTTTAATAAGAACGCTTGTGTTTAGATTGGATCCACCAGATAATCCAGAATAATCTCCCCATCTCAAGATCCTTAACTAATCATGAAAATCCCCTCTGCTATGTAAAGTAACACATCTACATCTTCTGAAGATTATGACATGACATCATTGGGCATTGGGGCAGGGCACATTATTCTGCTTACCAAAGATCCCTTAACATAATTCAACATTGCATAAATTCTGGTGCTAAAATAAATGGCTACATTTACATTTTGAGATATCAGACACTTGAATAATTTTTCCTCATTCTTTTAAAATAAATCAGCTTTCTAGAAAAGCCATAAATAAGCAATTATTGTTAGTTCCACCATTTACTCTCAAGTCAACTGTGACTGGTGCATGTTATGCTTTCTTTTATAAATGTCAACAAGTCACATTTTTAAAAGTATTGTTATTTATAACCAATAGAATGCCCGTCATTTAATTTGGCTTCGTTTTTCTAAATCATATTTTTTAGACAAGACAGTTCCATTTACATGTATTTTAAGGTTTGAGGACACAGAGAAAGTGTATTTTAAAGAGAGAAATATATGGAACGTCCCTGTCAGATTCGGTGTCATCATGGTATCCACTCATATCTGAGCACAAGACGTAGACCAACACTTACCAGTGGTTCTCTATTTTTGACCAGACGGATGATCTTTACTGAGTCTTCCTCATCGTCAATATCATCAGGCATAGGGGGCAATACAGGATCATAATTCTTCTGAGCCACAGTATCGTGTACTGAGAGCAAAGCCTATCAAAGTCAAAGGTTGGTAAAAGTAATATTAATCAAATACAACAACCCAAACCCATCAAACTATAAAGAAAATCAAAGCAGTGTTATAATTTTGACATAACAATGATAATAAGGCAAATACTTGAAGAAAGGAGCCTCTTACAACAGGGAATATGTAGAACAGCAGAAAGCCGTTCCCCTCAGCTGCCACCCCAAACCCCAATGCCATTAATGTAGGACAAGGATCAGCACAGAATCTCTCTTAGCCTGTATATTTTCTGGTTTATCCTTGTAAGGATGGCAGCTGGGGGCAGGAGTGAGAGGTGTTACTCTTGAAAAGAGGGAGAAAATGAGGTTATAGATTATATTGTCAGTGAGCCAGTGGGAGTCTGAGAAAGCTATATATTTTTTCTTTCCTACTGTTCGCAGAAAACGCAAAAAGAACTGATCAATACAACTGACTAGCTTTCATGCTTTTGCTGTTTTCTCACTTTTCAATTGTTAGTGTAGTAAGTATAAAAACAAAGTATCTCTAGTCATGACTGTTACAGTGGTAAAACTCCACAAAACACTGTCATCCTGTCATTATAGACCAAAGATGAGAAAAACGCAGGAACCCTGACATGTTACTACTCACCATTTTAGGTGAGCAGGTCTAGACTTCTAACTAACTTGTTCCTTAATCAGCAATGCCATGATCCATAAATTACTTTAGCCAGAAGCCTAAATATCAACCTTGAATTCTCTTCTCTCACCTACATTCCCAAGAGCCAATCCATATATCCTGTTAAATCTATTTCCAAAATGTATGCTCTCCAGTCTAGATCAGAGGTTGACAAACTAAGCACATCGTCTTACAAATGAAGCTTTATTGGAACATAGCCATGCTCATTCACTGATGTATTGTTGATGGCTGCTGTCATGCTCCAATGACAACTTTAAGTATAAGCAAGAGACATTTTTACATAAAACCTTAGCAGACCCCTGGTTTAAATCATTGATGCCATCATTTTTTACCTGGAATATTGCAAAAACCTCTAAATGGTCCAACTGCATTCATCTTTGGCTCATTTTCAGATCCATAATTCACAGTGTAGCCAGAGTGATTATTTTAAAACTTGATCAAATCACATAAGTGGCCTGCTAATAACTCTTCTAAAGCTACCCACTGATCTTGTATCGGATGAAGATCAAACTATTGAGCATGTCCTCGTCTTCAATTCCTCTGTAATCATACCTTACACCACTCTCTTCCTTACTCAGATTAAATAACTTTCTCACACAGGCCTGGCCAAAACACCCAATAAAAAAGCAAATTACTTGGTTACTTGATCGTATGTTATAGTATCTTCTTCTTTGCCTTCATACATGATCATAGTTTATAACCATATAAGCATTTTTATATGCATATGTTTAATATTTGGTATCTACTGAAATAGAAGCTCTAAGATGGTAAACAAATGCTGTCTAGTTTTTAAGCGTTTTTACTGACTATGTCATAAAAAATGGTATCTATTTTTTTAATTAAGCTTTTTTATTGACTACAACATATATACAGTAAAGTACACAATTCACAAGCATAGCATGACAAATTTTCAAAAATGAATACTCCCATGTAAACATCCCCCAAACAAGAAATATTGGGTTGCCGGAAAAGTCATGACACATTTTTGCAATGAAAAACCTAGAAAAAATACGTCATGACTTTTCCGATAACCCAATACAACATTATCTGAACCTCAGAAGCCCTCACTTATGCTCCCTTAGTCATCATGCCTTCTAGTCCCCTGAAGGTGGCAGTTCTAATTTAAATACTGCATAAATAGAATTATAAGTGCATATTCATTTTTTCTCTCTGATACTAAGTTGGTGAGATTCATCTGTGCTGTTACTGGTAGCAGCAGCCATTCATTTCTACTGATATGTAGCATTCCAACATATGCATATGTCACAGTTTCTTTACCCACTATGCCCGTTATTGAGGGACATTTAGGTTGTTTTCATTTCTTGAACATCATATATAATGCTTCTATGAATATTTCATGTCTTCTGATGCATATATCTATCTATCTATCTATCTATCTATCTATATATATATATTTGTATGTATGATTTGGTTAAGTATATTTAAGAGAATTTCTAGGTCATGGGTTATAAGTATATTCAACATTAGTAGATAGAAACAAACAATTTTTTAAAGCAGTTGTCCTAATCACACTGCCATCAAAGGTTATGTGAGTTCTAGTTGCATTCCATGATCCCCAACATTTTACATTATTAAAATTTGGCAATTCTGAGTGTGTAGTGGTATCTTCTTGTGGTTAAAATTTCCTTTTTCTTATTGCTAACGATATTGAAAATATTTTCTTATGTTGACTGGGTATGTGTATATCTTCTTTTGTGAGATGTCAGCTCAAGATTCTTGCATGTTTTTCTTTTCTATCTATCTTTTTCTAATTCATTTGTAAGAATTCTTTATAACATACTGGTTTCAAGCCTTT